TGACACATTCACACACTCACTTGCACAGTGACACATTCACACACTCACCTGCACAGTGACAACATTCACACACTCACCTGCACAGCGACACATTCACACACTCACCTGCACGGGTGACACATTCACACACTCACCTGCACGGTGACACATTCACACACTCACCTGCACAGTGACACATTCACACACTCACCTGCACGGTGACACATTCACACACTCACCTGCCACAGTGACACATTCACACACTCACCTGCACGGTGACACATTCACACACCTCACCTGCACAGTGACACATTCACACACTCACCTGCACGGTGACACATTCACACACTCACCTGCAGTGACACATTCACACACTCACCTGCACAGTGACACATTCACACACTCACCTGCACGGTGACACATTCACACACTCACCAGCACGGTGACACATTCACACACTCACCTGCAGTGACACATTCACACACTCACCTGCACAGTGACACATTCACACACTCACCTGCACGGTGACACATTCACACACTCACCTGCAGTGACACATTCACACACTCACCTGCACAGTGACACATTCACACACTCACCTGCAGTGTGACACATTCACACACTCACCTGCACAGTGACACATTCACACACTCACCTGCACAGTGACACATTCACACACTCACCTGCAGTGACACATTCACACACTCACCTGCACAGTGACACATTCACAAACTCACCTGCACAGTGACACATTCACACACTCACCTGCAGTGACACATTCACACACTCACCTGCACAGTGACACATTCACACACTCACCTGCACAGTGACACATTCACACACTCACCTGCACAGTGACACATTCACACACTCAGCTGCACAGTGACACATTCACACACTCAGCTGCACAGTGACACATTCACACACTCACCTGCACAGTGACACATTCACACACTCAGCTGCACAGTGACACATTCACACACTCACCTGCACAGTGACACATTCACACACTCACCTGCACAGTGACACATTCACACACTCACCTGCACATTGACACATTCACACACTCACCTGCACAGTGACACATTCACACACTCACCTGCACAGTGACACATTCACACACTCACCTGCACAGCGACACGTTACTACACTCACCTGCAGAGTGACACATTCACACACTCACCTACACAGTGACACATTCACACACTCACCTGCACAGCGACACGTTACTACACTCACCTGCAGAGTGACACATTCACACACTCACCTACACAGTGACACATTCACACACTCACCTGCACAGCGACACGTTACTACACTCACCTGCAGAGTGACACATTGACACACTCACCTACACAGTGACACATTCACACACTCACCTGCACAGTGACACATTCACACACTCAGCTGCACAGTGACACATTCACACACTCACCTGCACAGTGACACATTCACACACTCACCTGCACAGTGACACATTCACACACTCACCTGCACAGTGACACATTCACACACTCAGCTGCACAGTGACACATTCACACACTCAGCTGCACAGTGACACATTCACACACTCACCTGCACAGTGACACATTCACACACTCAGCTGCACAGTGACACATTCACACACTCACCTGCACAGTGACACATTCACACACTCACCTGCACAGTGACACATTCACACACTCACCTGCACAGTGACACATTCACACACTCAGCTGCACAGTGACACATTCACACACTCACCTGCACAGTGACACATTCACACACTCACCTGCACAGTGACACATTCACACACTCACCTGCACAGCGACACGTTACTACACTCACCTGCAGAGTGACACATTCACACACTCACCTACACAGTGACACATTCACACACTCACCTGCACAGCGACACGTTACTACACTCACCTGCAGAGTGACACATTCACACACTCACCTACACAGTGACACATTCACACACTCACCTGCACAGCGACACGTTACTACACTCACCTGCAGAGTGACACATTGACACACTCACCTACACAGTGACACATTCACACACTCACCTGCACAGCGACACGTTACTACACTCACCTGCACAGTGACAGATTCACACACTCACCTGCACAGTGACACATTCACACACTCACCTCCACAGTGACAAAGACAAAGGTCCCCCCTCTATCTCTAACAGACTGTTGGGGCAAGTGCTTTTAGCGGCACCTGATGGGGTATTGAGGTCAGCACAATGCCCTGCCGCATTTGTCTCCCCAGGTGCTTGACGGCCAAATTAATCTAGGAGATGCCCAGGACCAGTTCATGAAAATGCGCTGATCGCGACGCCACAACACAACACACACGCTACACACACTACACACACACGGTACAACCACACTACACACACGATACAAACACTACACACACTACACACAGTACAACCACACTCCACACACACGGTACAACATACACTACACACACGGTACAACCACACTACACACGCTACACACACACACTACAAACACACTACACACGCTACACACACAATACACGCGGTATACACAGACGACACACATTACACACATACTACACACGCTACAAACACTATACATACTACACACAAACTACACACACCACACACTACACACACCACACACACATATACACACAACACACACAGTATACACACATTAGACACACACTACACACCAGTGGCGGCTCCTGCAAAATCTCTCAGGGGGGGCAAATGTCTGGATGATTGATAAGGATAAGGTCCACCCATGCAATGGATAAATTAACAGCTTAAGCATGTAAAGACAACTTCACTTCTTTAATATTAATGAAAAATAAAGTGACTCTTACAATACATCTTGTTTGTTTCTATACTCACTATTATTACAATCCACTCAGTTTATTTTATTAAAGATTCCACTAGGTGGCGACAAATAATTTAGTTGACTGAAACGTACTTAAGTATGATGACGTAAGCACGTATGATGACGTAAGCACGTTAGGGCGAGCCCTCCCGGAAGCCATAGAGAATGCATTGCAGCGCCCGCCCTTCGAAAAAAAACATCTTTGAATGTAAGTCTATGGGACCACACGGGGCGATTCTCAGCCGGAGTGAAATCGCCCAAAAAGAGGCGGTACTCCACAGAGCGTGACATGACGCTGATTGGACTATATCCAGAGGCACAGTAACGGCTAGCATAGCTCTGTGGTTGAATGAGATTGTTAATGTGATTGATAAAGTCCCTTTCACACATTGGTGGTGAGTCGCCCAATCGCCCTAATGAAGAAACCGCCCCTGCTACACACGATACACACACACTACACATGCTACACACACGGTACAACCACACTACACACACTACACACACACTACACACACACTACACACACTACACACGCTACACACACGGTACAACCACACTACACACACTACACATGCTACACACAAACTACACACACACTACACACACGTTATACACACAACACACACAGTATACACACATTAGACACACACTACGCACGATACACACACACTACACATGCTACACACACGGTACAACCACACTACACACACTACACACACACTACACACGCTACACACACGGTACAACCACACTACACACACTACACATGCTACACACAAACTACACACACACTACACACACGTTATACACACAACACACACAGTATACACACATTAGACACACACTACGCACGATACACACACACTACACATGCTACACACACGGTACAACCACACTACACACCCGATATACACACAACATACACAGTATACACACATTAGACGCACACTACGCACGCGGACACACGCAGTGCAGAAAGTCAGTATGGTTGCAATGTGTCTCAATGGGCTTGCTTAATCTCCGGGTTAAATAAAGGGTAAAGCATCACACACACACACTACACACACACCGTCACACACAGATCCACGAACTATGTGTACCATACAAAGATGACATGCGGCAAGGCAGGGGCCAGACATTGACTTTTCATTTTAAACTGATGACCTCTACAATTCAATTACTGCCATGCAGAACGGCGCTGGCTCATTTGCATTCCCAGTGCCGACCGATTAAGGCCCCAACCTCCTCAGCCCCCCCACCCCCCACCAGGGACCAGCTGCCCACTGCCCTCCCACGGCCCTCTGCCGCCCTCTCGCGGTACGAGGGCAGCAATGGATCCATCGCATGACCACCAAGGCCACGTGGTCATGCTGATACCAATGCACATTAAACGTCGTTAACCCTCCACGACCCCGACGCGCATTGTCACGACGTTCAACAACAAAAACAGCGGGGACCGCCCTTGGCCGAGCTGCGTTTATCTTCCAGGCGACCGCACCCGCGGCAATTGTCCGTCCATAACTGCCACGCACAGGCAGCAGCATCCAGGCAGGGCCGGATTAAGATTGTGTAGGCCGCCTGCGCTACAACTACTGTGAGGCCCCCAGTCATATTTTAAAAAAACAAAGTTAAAGAAAAATAAAATTTATTTTTACATGGCTAACGACAACATAAAATTCAACATTGACAAATGAAATAACTTTTCACTCAATCTCTGGAGGCCATCCAGCTGGCGGAGGCCCCTGGGCTGCAGCCCCTAAAGCCCCCACGCCTTGATCCGGCCCTGCATCCAGGCACCCATCATCCACCTTCCAGGAGGCCATCACCTGTCCAGGCATATTACCTGTCCAGGCTCTCAGCCATTCAGGCTCTCACCTGTACAGACCATCACCTCTACAGACCATCACCTCTACAGGCCATCACCTGTACAGGCCATCACCCGTTCAGGCTCTCACCTGTTCTGTCTGGCGTACGAGGAACTTTGATGTTGTAATTGTTGTTGGATCAGACATTCGTAACATATGCGTGCATAACAAGTTTATTATTGATGTTGTAATTGTTATTCTATTTATTGTGATTGTTTTTATAATTGTTGTGATTATTGTTGTGATTGTTCTTGCTGTGATTGTTGTTGTTTTTTTATGGTTGTTGTTGTCGTCCCAGGCTGGCTCCTCCGGTTATACCGGACGTGAGCCTCTTCCCCGAGATCATCGGGGATGCGTTTGCCATAGCGATCGTGGCCTTCGTGGTGCCCCTGTCACTCAGCAAGATCTTCGCACAGAAGCACGGATACGCTATCGACAGCAACCAGGTAACTGGGTACCCGTAAGTAGGTCGCCTGGTTACCAGATAACTAGGTGACCTTGTAACCAGGTAGTAACCGGATATCTTGGTAACGAGATGACTTGGTTACCAGGTAACCTGTTAACCAGGCAAATATGTAACCAGATGAACTGGTAATCAGGTAGCCGGATAACCAGGTAACCAGGTGACCTGGTAACCTTGTAACCAAATAACTGGTTAACAAGGTGACCTAATAAGGAGGTAACCAGATAAGCAGGTGACCCAGTAACTGGATAACCAGACAGCCAGCTGGTAGATGAAACAATGTGACTGGGATGTAATCAGATTTCTTCGATACGTGTAAATCACTAAATGGGATTCCCAGACACGCATCTTCCATGCGTTGCATCTGGAACAGGTCCTTGTGACTGCGTCTGTCTACCTCGCCCCTCCATCATTTAACTATTTACTTATTTAACTTTTATACCACGCTGGCTTGCCAGCTGCACTGCTACTGATGATGGCATTGGTTGTTCATTACAACGTGGAGAGCGGTGGTGCAGTGATTAGCGCATTGGACAAGTAATCAAACTTCAGTTAGATTACCAGGCCACGGTCAACATCAGTAGCGATTATCTGAACTGGTCCTTGAATTAGTAGCTGGTGCAGTGTGGCATCATCCGCACTGGGGAGACAAAGGCGGACGGGCGTGATGCTGGCCACCCACATAAGCGCGCTACACAGGGAATATTTGCCTTTGTTGTTCATTATATTTAAGACTATGATGCATAGTGATGATATTGATGATGTTGTTGATAATGATTTTAACTATGACGATTATGATGTTGATGATGTTGATGGCGTTAATGATGATAACGATGCTGATAACGATGTTGATGATGATCCACAGGAGTTGCTTGCGTTCGGGGTGAGCAACATCTTCGGGTCGTTCTTCCAGACGGTCGTGGTGAGCACGTCGCTCTCCCGCTCGCTCATACAAGAGAGCACCGGCGGCAAGACGCAGGTCCCGGCCACGCCACACGGCACCACACTCACACACGGCACCACACTCACTCGGCACCACACTCACTCGGCACCACACTCACACGGCACCACACACACACGGCACCACACTCACACAGCGCCACACACACACACGGCACCACACACACACGGCACCACACACACACGGCACCATACACACACGGCACCACACTCACTCAGCACCACTCACACACGGCACCACACACACTCAGCACCACACTCACTCAGCACCACTCACACAGCGCCACACACACACACGGCACCACACTCACTCACGGCACCACACTCACACGGCACCACACTCACTCAGCACCACACTCACTCAGGACCACTCACACAGCGCCACACACACACACGGCACCGCCGCGCCGTGGCACACCAGCACCACACCACACGGCACCACACTCACACGGCACCACACACACACGGCACCACACTCACACAGCGCCACACACACACACGGCACCACACACACACGGCACCACACACACACGGCACCATACACACACGGCACCACACTCACTCAGCACCACTCACACACGGCACCACACACACTCAGCACCACACTCACTCAGCACCACTCACACAGCGCCACACACACACACGGCACCACACTCACTCAGCACCACACTCACACGGCACCACACTCACTCAGCACCACACTCACTCAGGACCACTCACACAGCGCCACACACACACACGGCACCGCCGCGCCGTGGCACACCAGCACCACACCACACGGCACCACACTCACACGGCACCACACACACACGGCACCACACTCACACGGCACCACACTCACACGGCACCACACTCACACGGCACCACACACACACGGCACCACACTCGCACGGCACCACCCTCACACGGCACCACACTCACACGGCACCACACTCACACGGCACCACACTCACACGGCACCACACTCACACGGCACCACACTCACACGGCACCACACACACACGGCACCACACTCACACGGCACCACACACACACGGCACCACACTCACACGGCACCACACCACACGGCACCACACTCACTCGGCACCACACTCACTCGGTACCACACTCACTCGGTACCACACTCACTCGGTACCACACCACACACACACGGCACCGCACTCACACGGCACCGCACTAACACGGCACCGCACTCAAACGGCACCACACTCACACGGCACCACACTCACTCGGCACCACACTCACACGGCACCAAACTCACACGGCATCACACACACACGGCACCACACTCACACAGCACCACACTCACACAGCACCCCACTCTCACAGCACCACACACACGCAACACCACACTCACGCAACACCACACTCACGCAGCACCACACACACACAGCACCACACTCACACAGCACCACACTCACACAGCACCACACTCACACAGCACCACACACACACAACACCACACTCACACAACACCACACTCACACGGCACCACACACACACGACACCACACTCACACGGCACCACACTCACACGGCACCACACCACACGACACCACACTCACACGGCACCACACTCACACGGCACCACACCACACGACACCACACACACACGACACCACACACACACGACACCACACTCACACGGCACCACACTCACACGGCACCACACTCACACGGCACCACACACACACGGCACCACACTCACACGGCACCACACTCACACGGCACCACACACACACGGCACCACACTCACTCGGCACCACACTCACACGGCACCACACTCACACGGCACCACACTCACACGGCACCACACCACACGGCACCACACTCACACGGCACCACACTCACACGGCACCACACCACACGGCACCACACTCACACGGCACCACACCACACGGCACCACACCACACGGCACCACACTCACACGGCACCACACTCACACAGCACCACACACACACAACACCACACTCACACGGCACCACACTACACAGCACCACACTCACTCGGCACCACACTCACTCGGCACCACACACTCACGCGGCACCACACACTCACGCGGCACCACACACACTCACGCGGCACCACACTAACACGGCATCACACAACAACAACCGCCATTCGCCACTAAGTGGCGGTGACGTCACCACGACGCTTGTGCAAGGCCAAGTGCACCTTGAGGCCACGTGAAGTGTCGAACGCCCGCTGACAGGAGGTCACGGGGCAGACCCAGGTGCCACGGGTCGACTGACTGAGATGTCCGAGATGACTGGCTGATGGACCACCTGTGCCCCCTACTGTACCAACTTGCTGTGCTTTAGCCACCCGGCGCTCCGCTTGTTGTTGTGAGCGTCGCTCCTCCGCCCTCCGTTGTTGTTGGAGGGCGACTGCCTCCAACTGCCCAGTAGCGTCCTTCACGAGCCTCCTCCACTGAGGCCGATCTTGAGACCGCTGGTACCAGTCATCGGCAAGTCCACTCAGCTCCACGTTCTCCTGTACTACATCACTCCATCTCTTCTCTAGCCCGTGCCGCGCCCGTTTAGCCCCCTCGATCCGGCCGAACAAAAGCTGTTTAGGCATGCGGTGGCTGGGCATGCGGGCTACATGACCCAGCCAACGCAGCCTTGCCTGCCGGAGGAGCTCACCGATGGGACTTTGCCCAGATCTTTCAAGGATTTGTGAGCTCCTCACACAATCCAGCCTGGTTAAACTCAGGATGGATCGTAGGCAGGCCAGCCTAAATGTTTCCAACCGGCGAAGATGCTCCATTAGGGGGGTCCACGTTTCGCAAGCATAGAGAAGGGAGGGACGGAATGACCGTGGCTGAGAAGACCTGAAGCTTCGTGCGGAGCGACAGACCAGGTAGCTTCCACACAGCGTTACGCAACCGATGAAAATATATTGCCGCTCGACTGATTTGGAGTGAGACCTCTGCTGATGAACTGGAGCCGGTCATAAGCACACTGCCCAGGTATGGGAAACTCTCCACTCTCTCCACAAATTCCTCATCACCGATTGGGAGTTGTGGGGGTGGAGTGTCCGATGGTACAAAATACCCAGGCAGGTGCTTAGTTTTGGTGGGGCTGATGGTAAGGCCCCACCTCTTAGTGGCACGCTCCAGTCTCAGCAGCAGCGTCTCCAACTCCTCTTCTGAATGAGCAGCTATTACCAAATCATCGGCATACATAACGTGGTTGACCAATAGGGAGCCATCCCTTGATCGCACCCGGGCGTCGATCAGCCTCCCATTATATCTGTACCAAATGGAAATTCCCCCGGTACAGCTATTAAAGGCTTCACGAACTACGCAGTCGAAATAGATGTTAAATAATGTGGGAGCCAGAGGACATCCCTGTCACACCCCAAGGTGTACAGGGAAAGGTTCCGACTCCCGGCCACGTAGTTTTACCCGGGCCCGCTTACCATCATGAAGGTCCTTAATAATCGTGAGCAGAGGGTCAGGGACTCCGAAAGCACGAAGAACAACCCAGAGCCCAGGCCTACTGATGGTATCATAGGTCTTGACCAGGTTAATAAAGCAGAGATGTAGGTCTTGTTGGAATTCCCTACACCTCTGTTGTAGCAGACGGACAGAAAATATGGCATCTGTGCAGGACCGCCCTTTCCTGAAACCGCATTGGGGTTCCGCAAACCTCTCCTCAGCGTGCCTAGCAAGGCGATGTTGAATAATCCTTGCCAGGACCTTTCCCGGCACACTGAGGAGTGAGATGCCCTTGTAGTTGTTACAGTCTGTGTGGTCCCCCTTCTTAAAGAGGGGGGCCACCAGGGCATCCTTCCAATCCTGCGGTACCCGTCCAGCGGTCCAGACTGTTGTTATGATGTCATGTAGGGCAGTCTGTGCACAAACGCCACCCTCCCTCAGCATTTCGCTTGGGAGATCATCTCTGCCCGGTGCCTTTCCTGGTCTCAGACTCCGGATCGCCTTCAGTACTTCCTCAACAGATGGCACCTCAGCCAGCCACTCACAGGGGGTGACCTCTTCCAATATTTGAGGCACCGCAGCCTCAGCAGGGTTATCCCCACTTTGTGCCATGATGTTTTCCTGGCTGAGAGATTTTCTCTCCCCCAGGACCTCACAGAGATGCTCAGCAAATCTGCAAACCTGTTCCTGGGGGTCGGAGATTGGATCACCGTTTTTTTCCCTAATGATGGTAATAGGTGTGGCGTTGCAGGTTACTTTTATGATGGAGTTAAATAGTGATTTGTGATCGCGGGCCACTGAGGCAGACTCCATCTCCTCAGCAACCCGCGACCACCACCCATCCTTGCAGCGCCTTACGGCTCTCCGAACCTCCGAGCGAAGGCTGCGGTAAACCTCCTCATTCTCTGACGTGGGATGCTGTAGCCGATGAGAGTGAGCCTGTCGCTTTTTCTCAATTAACCTAAACACCTCCTTTGTCAGCCAGGGTTTCTGGGGAGGTCTGGACCGTGTACCCAAAGCAGCCATTGCAGCTGCATGAGTCACAGTCTTAAACCTCGCCCATTTACCCTCGACATCAGGTGGAGTGGGGGACGATGCCAACCCCAGCTGCAAGCGATGATGAAATTCTCGTTTGCAACTTTCATCAGCTAACTGAGACCAGGCCACTTTTGGTTGGAATGGGGTCCTGGGTGTACACCCACCACCGGAGTGGGAGAATGGCAGGCGCATCTTACAGATGACTAGTCGATGGTCAGAGGGCAGATCAGCTCCACGGTAGGTCCTGGTGTCAAGGACATGGACTCGCATCCGCTGGTCCGTCACTATGTAGTCCAGCAGATGTTCTTGCTTGGACCCGGCATGCATCCATGATGTTGTGTGGATGTGCCGATGCCGGAAGAGCGTGTTGGTAATTACAAGCCCATGGGCTGCACAAAAATCTAACAGCCTCCTACCGTTGTTATTGAGCTGATCTGGCCCATGCCTTCCAATCACTCCAGACCAGGTGCCAGCATCATGACCAACTCGGGAATTGAAGTCACCCAACAAGATGACTCTGTCCCGAGTGGCCACTTTAGCCAGCACCTGTGACAGGAGGTCATAGAAGGCTTCTGATTCATCGGCTTTGCCTGCATCCCTCCACGGATGTTCATCTTCGGTGGGGGCATAAGTAACCACGACCACCACTCCTCGCCTCCGGTTAATGGGAAGGCGAGCCCAAAGTAGCCTGGGGCTTACAGCTTCACACTCACACAACACTACACTCACACGGCACCACAGTCACACGGCACCACACACACACGGCACCACACTACACAGCACCACACTAACACAGCACCACACTCACACAACACCACACTCACACGGCACCACACTCACACGGCACCACACACACACACGGCACCACACTACACAGCACCACACTAACACAGCACCACACTCACACAACACCACACTACACAACACCACACGACACGGCACCACACTACACGGCACCACACTACACGGCACTACACTACACGGCACCACACTACACGGCACCAACACCAACACAGCGCCACACTCACACAACACTCACACAGCACCACGCCAACACGCCACACAGCCACACACACACACAGCACCACACCACAAAGCACCACACACACAGCACCACACTAACACAACACCACACTCACACAGCGCCACACACACAACCCCACACTCACACAGCACCACACCACTCAACACCACACTCACACAGCACCACACTCACACAACACCACACTAACACAGCAGCACTGCACCACACCGCACCACACTAACACAGCCACACACACCCCACAACACACCTGTGTGTGTGTGAAACTATTGTGCTGCGGGAGTGTAGCGGCTAGCACGCTGCGCTACGAAGCCGGTGACCCGAGTTCGATTCCCGATCCTTGCCAACAACAGTGACCATTATCTGAACCGGTCTGGGGCCTCTCATAGGTCAACTCAGCCTGAAATGAGTATTTGTGTGTTAACATCGTCACTGGGTAGACAAAGGCGGCCGGGCGTGGTCCTGGCCATCCACTTCCTCGTGTGCCGTGCTGGCCTTCATAGGCGTTTGCTAACAGCACCCAACAGTCTGTTCAAGGCTATATGGGGGATATTTGTCTTTGTGCATGCGTGTGTGCGTCTCGTGTGTGGGGAGCGGTGGCGCAGTGGTTCGTGCGCTGTTCTACAAACCCGGCCATTAGAGTTCGATTCCCGCTCAGAGCCAACATCACCGACGAATATCTGAAATGGCACTGGGCCTCCCCGAAATCGACTCAGCTTTAAATGAGTACTCGGTATGGTGTGTAAACATTGATACTGGGGAGACAAAGATGGCCAGGCGTGGGATTATCCACCCATGCCCTCGAGGGCCGTGACAGCCTTCATAGGTGCTTGCTAACAGCACTTTCCCCAACAGTTAATTGAAGTCTTGATTTGAAGCTTTCGTGACTGCAGGAGTCCATACTCTTTGGTTCTTTCAGTAAAGTCACGTGGGTAGAAATAAAACAAAATAAAACCAATCACGACGTTTCGATCGCAACACAAGCGATCTTCACCAGGTGGGACAACCACAGCAAGAAAATGTTGAAGTCGGCGGGAGAGTTGCCGTGGCAAGAGGCTACATAGGTCAGAGAGGGTTGTCCCAGCTGATGAAGATCGTTGTGTTGTGATCGAAACATCGTGATTTGTTTTATTTTATTTCTACCGACATGACTTTACCGAAAGAACCAAAGAGTATAGTTAATTGAAGTCTCTACGGGGCATCTGTGTCTGTGTGTCTCTGTGTGTGTCTGTCTGTGTGCGTGTGTCTGTCTGTGTGTCTCTGTGTGTGTCTGTCTGTGTGTGTGTCTCTGTGTGTGTCTGTGTCTGTCTGTGTGTGTCTGTCTGTGTGTGTGTGTCTATGTGTCTGTGTGTGTGTTGGGGTGAATGCAGGTGGCTGCTCTGCTGTCGTCCATCATCGTGCTCATCGTCATCCTGGCGCTGGGCTTCCTCCTGGAGCCACTGCAGACGGTGTGCACCCGCTTCACGGTGGCTCTGAGATGTTAACTACCTCGCCTGGTGTACAGGAGGTCGTGGGCTCGATCTCGACCTTGATGCCTGCTGTATATTTGGAGTTTGCGTGTCGCTCTTTCTCCCCGTGGTCGCGTGATTTTTCTTCATGTCCTCCGGCTTTTCCATACACATTTAGAATCAACATCACGCGTTTGGAGTATTTGTCTCCTATACCTTTTACACAGCCATTTCTTTCAGCTATAATTTGTGGCCGGTCGCTGCGGAGAAAGAGCTGCATAGTTCAGTGGGCCTTACCTGGTAAATAAAAAGAATAGTTTAGTTTAATCACATGGCCTGCACAACTCACCGACTCACGGGATACCTGGACAACCAGCTCAATCGCTCACCAGCTCACTGTCCTGCCGGACCACTGCGTGACTGACTGTCTAACCGTGTGAACTGGTGGGTGGTTGGCTGGGTAGTTGGGCGGCTGGATGGGTGAGTAGGTGGGTGGCTACGTGGCTGGGTAGCTACGTGGCTGGGTGGCTGTGTGGCTGGGTGGCTGGGTGGCTATGTGGCTGGGTGGCTATGTGGCTGGGTGGCTGGGTGGCTATGTGGCTGGGTGGCTATGAGGCTGGGTGGCTGGGTGGCTATGTGGCTGGGTGGCTGGGTGGCTGGGTGGCTATGTGGTTGGGTGGCTGGGTGGCTACGTGGCTGGGTGGCTGGGTGGCTGTGTGGCTGGGTGGCTGGGTGGCTATGTGGCTGGGTGGTTATGTGGCTGGGTGGCTATGTGGCTGGGTGGCCATGTGGCTGGGTGGCTGGGTGGCTATGTGCCTGGGTGGCTGAGTGGCTATGTGGCTGGGTGGCTGGGTGGCTATGTGGCTGCGTGGCTATGTGGCTGGGTGGCTGGGTGGCTATGTGGCTGGGTGGCTATGTGCCTGGGTGGCTGAGTGGCTATGTGGCTGGGTGGCTGGGTGGCTGTGTGGCTATGTATCTGGATGGCTGGATGGCTACATGGCTGGGTGGCTACCTGGCTGCGTGGCTATGTGGCTGGGTGGCTGGGTGGCTATGTGGCTGGGTGGCTATGTGCCTGGGTGGCTGAGTGGCTATGTGGCTGGGTGGCTGGGTGGCTGGGTGGCTATGTATCTGGGTGGCTGGGTGGCTATGTGGCTGGGTGGCTGAGTGGCTGGGTGGCTATATGGCTGGGTGGCTGGGTGGTTGGGCGGCTATGTGACTGGGTGGCTGGGTGGCTGGGTGGCTATGTAACTGGGTGGCTGGGTGGCTGGGTGGCTATGTGGCTGGGTGGTTGGATGGCTACGTGGCTGGGTGGCTCGGTGGCTATGTGGCTGGGTGGCTATGTGGCTGGGTGGCTGGGTGGCTGGGTGGCTATGTGGCTGGGTGGTTATGTGGCTGGGTGGCTGGGTGGCTATGTAACTGGTGGCTGGGTGGCTATGTGGCTGGGCGGCTATGTGGCTGGGTGGCTATGTGGCTGGGTGGCTATGTGGCGGAGTGGCTGGGTGGCTGGGTGGCTATGTAGCTGGGTGGCTGGGTGGTTGGGCGGCTATGTGGCTGGGTGGCTGGGTGGTTATGTGGCTGGGTGGCTGGGTGGCTATGTGGCTGGGTGGCTATGTGGCTGGGTGGCTGGGTGGCTATGTGGCTGGGTGGCTATGTGGCTGGGTGGCTATGTGGCTGGGTGGCTATGTGGCGGAGTGGCTGGGTGGCTGGGTGGCTATGTAACTGGTGGCTGGGTGGCTATGTGGCTGGGCGGCTATGTGGCTGGGTGGCTATGTGGCTGGGTGGCTATGTGGCGGAGTGGCTGGGTGGCTGGGTGGCTATGTAGCTGGGTGGCTGGGTGGTTGGGCGGCTATGTGGCTGGGTGGCTGGGTGGTTATGTGGCTGGGTGGCTGGGTGGCTATGTGGCTGGGTGGCTACGTGGCTGGGTGGCTGGGTGGCTATGTGGCTGGGTGGCTATGTGGCTGGGTGGCTATGTGGCTGGGTGGCTATGTGGCGGAGTGGCTGGGTGGCTGGGTGGCTATGTAGCTGGGTGGCTGGGTGGTTGGGCGGCTATGTGGCTGGGTGGTTATGTGGCTGGGTGGCTGGGTGGCTATGTGGCTGGGTGGCTATGTGGCTGGGTGGCTGGGTGGCTATGTGGCTGGGTGGCTGGGTGGCTATGTGACTGGGTGGCTATGTGGCTGGGTGGCTGGGTGGCTATGTGGCTGGGTGGCTGGGTGCCTATGTGGCTGGGTGGCTGGGTGGCTACGTGGCTGATTGGCTGGGTGCCTATGTGGCTGGGTGGCTGGGTGGCTACGTGGCTGGGTGGCTGGGTGGCTATGTGACTGGGTGGCTATGTGGCTGGGTGGCTGGGTGGCTATGTGGCTGGGTGGCTGGGTGGCTATGTGGCTGGGTGGCTATGTGGCTGATTGGCTGGGTGCCTATGTGGCTTGGTGGCTGGGTGGCTGGGTGGCTACGTGGCTGGGTGGCTGGGTGGATACGTGGCTGGGTGGCTACGTGGCTGGTTGGCTGGGTGGCTATGTGGTTGGGTGGCTGGGTGGCTATGTGGCTGGGTGGCTATGTGGCTGGGTGGCTATGTGGCTGAGTGGCTGGGTGGCTATGTGGCTGGGTGGCTGGGTGGCTGGGTGGCTATGTGGCTGGGTGGCTGGGTGGCCGGGTGGCTATGTGGCTGGGTGGGTGGGTGGGTGACTATGTGGCTGGGTGGCTGGGTGGCTATGTGGCTGGGTGGCTGGGTGGCTGGGTGGCTATGTGGCTAAGTGGCTGGGTGGCTGGGTGGATATGTGGCTGGGTGTCTATGTGGTTGGGTGGCTGGGTGGCTATGTGGCTGGGTGGCTGGGTGGCTATGTTGCTGGGTGGCTATGTGGCTGGGTGGCTGGGTCGCTGGGTGGCTGGGTGGCTATGTTGCTACGTGGCTGGGTGGCTATCTGGCTGGGTGGCTGGGTGGCTGGGTGACTATGTGGCTGGGTGGCTGGGTGGCTGGGTGGCTATGTGGCTGGGTGGCTATGTGGCTGGGTGGCTAGGTGGCTGGGTGACCATGTGGTTGGGTGGCTATGTGGCTGGGTGGCTGGGTGGCTATGTGGCTGGGTGGCTGGGTGGCTGGATGGCTATGTGGCTGGGTGCCTGGGTGACTGGGTGGCTGAGTCGCTATGTGGCTGGGTGGCTATGTGGCTGGGTGGCTACGTGGCTGGGTGGCTGGGTGGCTACGTGGCTGGGTGGCTGGGTGGTTGGGTGGCTATGTGGCTGGGTGGCTGGGTGGCTATGTGCCTGGGTGGCTGGTTGGCTCTGTGGCTGGGTGGCTATGTGGCTGGGTGGCTGGGTGGCTATGTGCCTGGGTGGCTGGTTGGCTCTGTGGCTGGGTGACCATGTAGCTGGGTGGCTATGTGGCTGGGTGGATGGGTGGCTACGTGGCTGGGTGGCTGGGTGGCTACGTGGCTGGATGGCTGGGTGGCTGGGTGGCTATGTGGCTAGGTGGCTGGGTGGCTAGGTGGCTGGGTGGCTATGTGGCTGGGTGGCTGGGTGGCTACGTGGCTGGGTGGCTACGTGGCTGGGTGGCTACGTGGCTGGGTGGCTATGTGGCTGGGTGGCTACGTGGCTGGGTGGCTGGGTGGCTACGTGGCTGGGTGGCTGGGTGGCTACGTGGCTGGGTGGCTGGGTGGCTGGGTGGCTGGGTGTCTTTGTGGCTGGGTGGCTGGGTGGCTATGTGGCTGGGTGGCTGGGTGTCTTTGTGGCTGGGTGGCTGGGTGGCTATGTGGCTGGGTGGCTGGGTGGCTGGGTGGCTATGTGGCTGGGTGGCTGGGTGGCTATGTTGCTGGGTGGCTATGTGGCTGGGTGGCTACGTGGCTGGGTGGCTGGGTGGCTGGGTGGCTATGAGGCTGGGTGGCTGGGTGGCTGGGTGGCTGGGTGGCTATGTGGCTGGGTGGCAGGTTGGCTATGTGGCTGGGTGGCTGGGTGGCTATGTGGCTGGGTGGGTGGGTGGGTGGCTATGTGGCTGGGTGGCTGGGTGGCTATGTGGCTGGGTGGCTGGGTGGCTGGGTGGCTATGTGGCTAAGTGGCTGGGTGGCTGGGTGGATATGTGGCTGGGTGTCTATGTGGTTGGGTGGCTGGGTGGCTATGTGGCTGGGTGGCTGGGTGGCTATGTGGCTGGGTGGCTATGTGGTTGGGTGGCTGTGTGGCTGGGTGGCTATGTTGCTACGTGGCTGGGTGGCTATCTGGCTGGGTGGCTGGGTGGCTGGGTGACTATGTGGCTGGGTGGCTGGGTGGCTGGGTGGCTATGTGGCTGGGTGGCTATGTGGCTGGGTGGCTAGGTGGCTGGGTGACCATGTGGTTGGGTGGCTATGTGGCTGGATGGCTGGGTGGCTATGTGGCTGGGTGGCTGGGTGGCTGGATGGCTATGTGGCTGGGTGCCTGGGTGACTGGGTGGCTGGGTCGCTATGTGGCTGGGTGGCTATGTGGCTGGGTGGCTGGGTGGCTACGTGGCTGGGTGGCTGGGTGGCTACGTGGCTGGGTGGCTGGGTGGTTGGGTGGCTATGTGGCTGGGTGGCTGGGTGGCTATGTGCCTGGGTGGCTGGTTGGCTCTGTGGCTGGGTGGCTATGTGGCTGGGTGGCTGGGTGGCTATGTGCCTGGGTGGCTGGTTGGCTCTGTGGCTGGGTGACCATGTAGTTGGGTAGCTATGTGGCTGGGTGGATGGGTGGCTACGTGGCTGGGTGGCTGGGTGGCTACGTGGCTGGATGGCTGGGTGGCTGGGTGGCTATGTGGCTAGGTGGCTGGGTGGCTATGTGGCTGGGTGGCTACGTGGCTGGGTGGCTGGGTGGCTGGGTGGCTATGAGGCTGGGTGGCTGGGTGGCTGGGTGGCTGGGTGGCTATGTGGCTGGGTGGCAGGTTGGCTATGTGGCTGGGTGGCTGGGTGGCTATGTGGCTGGGTGGGTGGGTGGGTGGCTATGTGGCTGGGTGGCTGGGTGGCTATGTGGCTGGGTGGCTGGGTGGCTGGGTGGCTATGTGGCTAGTGGCTGGGTGGCTGGGTGGATATGTGGCTGGGTGTCTATGTGGTTGGGTGGCTGGGTGGCTATGTGGCTGGGTGGCTGGGTGGCTATGTGGCTGGGTGGCTATGTGGTTGGGTGGCTGTGTGGCTGGGTGGCTATGTTGCTACGTGGCTGGGTGGCTATCTGGCTGGGTGGCTGGGTGGCTGGGTGACTATGTGGCTGGGTGGCTGGGTGGCTGGGTGGCTATGTGGCTGGGTGGCTATGTGGCTGGGTGGCTAGGTGGCTGGGTGACCATGTGGTTGGGTGGCTATGTGGCTGGATGGCTGGGTGGCTATGTGGCTATGTGGCTGGGTGGCTGGGTGGCTATGTGGCTGGGTGGCTGGGTGGCTGGGTGGCTATGTGGCTAAGTGGCTGGGTGGCTGGGTGGATATGTGGCTGGGTGTCTATGTGGTTGGGTGGCTGGGTGGCTATGTGGCTGGGTGGCTGGGTGGCTATGTGGCTGGGTGGCTATGTGGTTGGGTGGCTGTGTGGCTGGGTGGCTATGTTGCTACGTGGCTGGGTGGCTATCTGGCTGGGTGGCTGGGTGGCTGGGTGACTATGTGGCTGGGTGGCTGGGTGGCTGGGTGGCTATGTGGCTGGGTGGCTATGTGGCTGGGTGGCTAGGTGGCTGGGTGACCATGTGGTTGGGTGGCTATGTGGCTGGATGGCTGGGTGGCTATGTGGCTGGGTGGCTGGGTGGCTGGATGGCTATGTGGCTGGGTGCCTGGGTGACTGGGTGGCTGGGTCGCTATGTGGCTGGGTGGCTATGTGGCTGGGTGGCTGGGTGGCTACGTGGCTGGGTGGCTGGGTGGCTACGTGGCTGGGTGGCTGGGTGGTTGGGTGGCTATGTGGCTGGGTGGCTGGGTGGCTATGTGGCTGGGTGGCTGGTTGGCTCTGTGGCTGGGTGGCTATGTGGCTGGGTGGCTGGGTGGCTATGTGCCTGGGTGGCTGGTTGGCTCTGTGGCTGGGTGACCATGTAGTTGGGTAGCTATGTGGCTGGGTGGATGGGTGGCTACGTGGCTGGGTGGCTGGGTGGCTACGTGGCTGGATGGCTGGGTGGCTGGGTGGCTATGTGGCTAGGTGGCTGGGTGGCTATGTGGCTGGGTGGCTATGTGGCTGGGTGGCTGGGTGGCTACGTGGCTGGGTGGCTACGTGGCTGGGTGGCTACGTGGCTGGGTGGCTATGTGGCTGGGTGGCTACGTGGCTGGGTGGCTGGGTGGCTACGTGGCTGGGTGGCTGGGTGGCTACGTGGCTGGGTGGCTGGGTGGCTGGGTGGCTGGGTGTCTTTGTGGCTGGGTGGCTGGGTGGCTATGTGGCTGGGTGGCTGGGTGGCTGGGTGGCTATGTGGCTGGGTGGCTGGGTGGCTATGTTGCTGGGTGGCTATGTGGCTGGGTGGCTACGTGGCTGGGTGGCTATGAGGCTGGGTGGCTGGGTGGCTGGGTGGCTGGGTGGCTGGGTGGCTATGTGGCTGGGTGGCAGGTTGGCTATGTGGCTGGGTGGCTGGGTGGCTATGTGGCTGGGTGGCTGTGTGGCTATGTGGCTGGGTGGCTGGGTGGCTGGGTGGCTATGTGGCTATGTGGCTGGGTGGCTGGCTGGCTGGCTGGCTACGTGGCTGGGTGGCTATGTGGCTGGCTGGCTGGGTGGCTGGGTGGCTGGGTGGCTGGGTGGCTACGTGGCTGGGTGGCTATGTGGCTGGGTGGCTGGGTGGCTACGTGGCTGGGTGGCTATGTGGCTGGGTGGCTACGTGGCTGGGTGGCTGGGTGGCTGGGTGAGTGAGTGAGTGTGAGCGAGGCTGTGGGAACCCCGGCCATACGCAACGTGACTACTTGTTTTTTTCCTCTGCTCCGTGGCGGTGCAAGGCGGTGCTGGCCTCCCTCGTGGTGGTGAACCTCAAGGGGATGTTCACCCAGGTGAAGGAGGTGCCTCGCCTGTGGCGGACGGACCGCATCGACTGCGTACGTCAGCGCGAGCACACACGCACGCATACACACACGCACGCATACACGTGGAGCGGTCACATGACCCAGTGGTGCGCTGGCGCGTTATTCGCTGCATGTCGCAGGGTTTTAGCGGTTCTAGTCTGGCGGCCACCCTGGTCGTTCCCGCAGTGTCTGCGTTGTGAGCCATAGTCGCGCTACACACTAGCCGCCGCGCTCACAGTTGGACGTTAAAAGCCTCGTGGTACCATTCGGCAAGAGTTGGCCCGTTGTGTGCCTTCGTCACTGTCCACATTTTGCTACATTTGAAAAGTTACACCGCAAATTAATCACACAGCAGCAGCATCAATAATCGCCCCCTTCTACTAACATTTGTCAGGAGCCTCCTCAGAAAAGGGTCATGAGACTCATGGAGCCGCATTGGAGAGCTACACAGCACAACCCACAACAACCCACATACCAGCGTGCTCACTCACGCAAACACTCACTCACCTCCAGCCCCATCCACCCACGCGCTGGCTCATCTGTGCACTCATCCACTCAGGTAATGTACTGATCCACAAAGCCAAAGATACCCCACGTAGCCTTAACAGACTGTTGGTGCAAGTGCTGGTAGCGAGCACTTATGAAGGCCGGCACGGCACACGAGGTATAGTTGGTCAGCACCACGGCCGACCGCCTTTGTCTCCCCAGTGGCGATGTTTACACACCGCACCAGGTACTCATTTGAGGCCGAGTTCAGGCATCCACCCACTCACTCAGCACGTGCTTCTCTTCACCGCCCCGTTTGCCCCCCTCCCCACCAACTTCCACCCCGCCCACCCCGTCGGTGACGAGTGCAGCTGCTGTGGGTGGTGAGCTGCGTGATGAGCATCCTGCTCGGCCTCGACCTGGGCCTGGCCGTGGCGCTCGCCTTCGAGATCCTCACCACCGTCGCTCACTCCCTCTTGTGAGACCGGCTTGCGGTGGTGTCCGACACACCGGCACCATGGGGCCACGGCCCATGGTGCCATGGGCCATGGTGCCACGGGCCACGGGCCATGTTGCCAGCTGGTGCCAGCTGGTGCCAGCTCGCCCTGGCAGTTGTAGCCAAGCCCTATTCGAGCGGCTCGCTATTTGGGCCCTCGATAACGCTCTGTGGCGATGTTTGAAGGCGTCTATGCCTCAGCTGTATCTGCCTGCCTCTATGGGGTGGGGTGGGCGCGGGGGGTGGGTGCACGATGACTTTTAAAGACGATCCAATGGGGTGGCCTTAAACAATCGTTCTCAGGTTGCTTTGCATGGAAAGGCGGAAAACAGTCAACAACAACCACGCCAAGAAGACGTGAGATCGGCGGTTGAAAATAACAAAATAGAGCAAGCCGTGTGAAACAGAGACGTTTTTAGTCGAGCTTTGAAGATGTCTAAGTGTATCGGAAGTCCTGACCTCGAAGGAGTTCCAGAGTTTCGGTGTCGCAATTGCAAAGGCACTGTCACTCCAAGTGCGAAGCCTCGACCGTGGGAGAGTGAGCAATGCACAATGTGACGACCTTATCGATCTTGATGGAATATTTGACTGAAGGAGGTCGTACCTTCGGAAACAAATGTTCGTGCCGTAGCTTTCCAATATTCTATTTGTACCGTACTAGTACGGTAAAAAAAATGTGTACCCTAATTTCGTACCTCATATCGTACTTAAGAAACAACAAAGCTTAGGAAATAAGAAATATACGACAAGCAAGATTACAGCAGTATACCGTTTTGCTTTATTTTGTTGCTGTTGTAGAAAGGTCCTCGCTCTTTACAACACTTCTTCTTGAGTGCTGCCTAACGGCGTGTGCGACTTCACGATGATATTGGTCCCGGTCTAGCACGGCGTGTAGAGTTTGTGCTGCTGTTGTTAATTGTAGCCATGTTTTGATGTTACTGAGCCATGTCGTTTTTGGCCGTCCTGGTCGTTTTTTCCCTTCGATTTTTCCTTCCAGGATTTGCTTTAATAGCTGGTATTTGTGGTCGTTTCGGGCAATGTGGCCTAGGTAGTAACACTTCCTGCTAATGATGGTCTTCAGCAGTTGCCTGTCAGTGCCCATATCTTGCACAACTTGTGTATTGGTGGTTTTGGCTGTCCATGGGATTTTCAGCATTCTTCGATACAGCCACATCTCGAAAGCTTCGAGCCTTTTTGTTGCTGTTGTTGTCAGTGTCCACGTCTCTACTCCGTACAGCAAAATTGACCAGATGTAGCATTTCAGTGTGCGCAGTTTCAGTGATATACTCAAGTTGCGGTCTGCAAGGAGTGTTTTCCATTTAATAAATGCTTGCCTTGCTTGTTCAATTCTGCTCTTGATTTCGACTTCATGGTTCAACTGATCGTCAATGATTACACCAAGGTATTTAAATCGGTGTACTTGTTCCAATTTTTCGCTGCCCAGCTTGATTGTTATTTCGCTTGTAGTTCGGCTGACCTTCATAACCTTTGTTTTCTTTTTATTAATTCGTAAGCCCCATATTTGACTCTCTGTGGCAACCTCGTCCAAGATTTGTTGTAGGTCTTGTTCTGAATCGGCCAGCAGTGCAGTGTCGTCGGCATACCTGATGTTGTTGATGTATTGTCCATTGACTTTAATACCAATGTTTTTATCTGCTAGTGTTCGATCAAAAATCTGCTCCGAGTAGATGTTGAAAAGACTGGGTGAAAGTGGGCAGCCCTGTCGTACACCTTTTTGTATTGGTGTTGGGTCTGTCAATTCGTTGTCATATCGGAGTTGGGCTGTTTGCTTCCAATAAAGAGCAATGATGAAGTTGATGTCGTTTTTATCTAGTCCCAGTTGTTTTAATAGAGCTGCTAGTCGGTCGTGGTCGACTGAGTTAAAGGCTTTCTCGTAATCTATGAAGCAGATGTACACTTCTTTCTGATGTTCGTAGCATCGCTGTAGTAGTATCTGTAGACAGAAGATTGCTTCTCTTGTGCCTAGTCCTTTACAGAAGCCAAACTGTGTGTTCTTCAATGCATTTTCGCATGTGGAGCGTATGCGCTGTTGGATCACCTTCAGGAAGACTTTCAGCACGTGGCTCATCAAGCTTATCAGTCTGTAGTCCTCGCATTTCCGGCTTGTTGCTTTCTTTGGTATGGCCACAAAAATGGATTGTAGCCAGTCGGATGGAATTTTATTGCCATTGTATATTTGATTGTACCAATTAGTCAGTTGTCGTATGTTGTTGCTGTCTAATAGTTTGAGCAATTCTACATGGATTGTGTCGGGCCCGCACGCTTTGCCTGACTTAGCTGTTTTGATTGCATGTTCTACTTCTGATGTTAAAATGTGTAGAGCGTCTTTCGACATCTGTTGGTCTTTTTCTGCAGGTGTTCTCGCGGCGCCATAGAGCTTGTGTATATAGTTTGTCCAGGTGTCCATTTTTTCTTGTTTATTTAGGATTGGTTGGTTGTTGTCCGCATACAAGGTAGCTGTTGGGGCTGGTCTGTAGATGTTACCAGCTTCTTTGAGCTTCTTGTGCAGAGTAAAATTGTCATGTTTTTTTAAATTAGTTCTTCAATCTCGGCGCATTGTTCTTCCATCCACTTTTCTTTTGCCTGTCGGATTGCTTCTCTGATCTTCTGTTGCATTTGTTTGTACTTCTCCAAGTCGTTATTTTTGTACATTCTTCGTTTGCTCATTAGATCGAGAATATAACGTGTCATCCATCGTTGTTTCTTTTTGGGTGGCTGATGTCCCAGCATGACTTCTGTTGTTTCTGTGATGCATTGTTTGAACGAGCGCCAGTACTCCTGAACATCTGCTGTTTCTGTTGTTATTGAGCGGATGCTATCATTGAGATGTTGCTGTACTTGTCTTTTATCGGCGCTGTTCTTCAGTTTCTCCAGGTCTGCTCGTCTCGTCTTTGTACATTGTATTGATCGCAGTTTGAGTCTTATTGTAGCTGTTACTGGGTTATGATCTGACGATATATCGGCTCCAGGGTAGGTTTTTGCTGTAATCACACTGGACTTAAACCTGATGTTAATTAGGATATAATCGATTTGGTTCCTGACGATGTTGTTGTCGGAGTCTTGCGGCGAGGTCCACGTGTACAGTCGTCGAGGTGGTAATTGGAACCACGTGTTAGCAATACTGAAACGTTCTTCTTGGCAGAATTGAACCAGTCTGTCGCCTCGTCCATTCCTTGTTCCTAGTCCGTGTTCTCCGACAATGTTCTGCATTCGACCGTGGCCAACCTTGGCGTTGAAGTCGCCGAGGATTATAGTGATGTCTTGCTTCTTCAGCGGCTTCAGCGTGTTGGTTAGTTGCTCATAGAACGATTCGATTTCATGATCTTGTTTATCTGCTGTTGGAGCATAAACCTGTAGAATGTTCACGTTGACTTTATTGCCTGCTAATTGTAGTAGTGCTATTCGTTCTGATACTGGGGTAAAGTTGTTGACTTTATTCGCTAATTTCTTGTGTACTATAAAGGCGACACCGTATGTTTGTTTGGTGTTTTCTTCTCCTCCGGAGCAGAAGATGTGGTGTTCGCTTGATATACACTTTTTTGTTCCAGGCCATTTAGTTTCGCTTAGACCGATTATGTTGATTTTAAGTCGATCCATTTCTTGTATGACATTGGCTAGTTTTCCTGCTTGAAGTAAACTTCTAACGTTCCAAGTTGCTACTTTGAAAGGGTTCTTTGACACAAGCTCGGAGATTCTTAGCACCCCTGTCCTATTTAAAGGACGCCGATACTCAGGGCCTTTGTTGATTTTGCTTGTCATCATTGAAGTTTTCAAGGGAGAAATAATCCAAGTAGTTTCCCGTTGCTTTCTTGGATCACAATTTATTTGAAAAGGTCATGTGGGGACCTTTCGAAACGGGTTTTGTCTGACGTCTCCACTGAAGTCTTCCCGCCTTGGGTGACCCTTCTGAGAGCACTAGGCTCTCGACGGTATAGCGATCAGCTTCTCAGACGTACACAAACCCTCTCGCCGCATTAAGGCACCGTTTCTCGAGAGAGCTTTACAACACAAATCTGCGGAAATATTTTTTTTTTATTGAAGAAAAACATTTTAATCCGAAATTGCATAATTAGGAAATATTTATTAAAAAGACTCGCGTCATATTCTCATCCGTTATCAATGGTGAGTGTCATTTTGCAAACGGAGTCTTTGCCGACCGTTTTAGTTTCTGATAACTGTTGTGTTACATTATTATAGCCGACAACAAACTGAAAACTGCATTTTGTCTTTAATTTGTCCTTCCCCCCGCACTGCCCCTCCAGTGAGCACGGTTGGCTATGCACAGTGCGAAGACGTTCCAGCGTACGGTGAAAAGATAAAGAGAAGATAATGATTATCAGCAATAAAGAAGCTTGGCTTCTCATGAATTCATCACCTGAGTTGGTACGAAAAGTGTACAGGGACAATTAATACCGTGCCGTACTTAACAGCCGAACAAATCCCGTACCACACTACCACCCTTGCCCTGGAGAGAAGTGGGCACGTTGATTAAAGCTGTAAGAGAGAAAATAATAACGCCAAAAGGATGGCATGCGTGTTGCCTACAATTGGGCGCACAACGACTCTGGTAAAGACGATCCATTGTCAACTTTACTCGGCCCTCACGTAGGGCCTGTTACCCGAAACGTCGTCTATTGTCCATTGTATTGTGTGGCCGCAGCGTCATTGACGAACGCGTTGGAAGTTTTTGCTGTTTGTGCTCTTGCACCGCTGCCGCTGCAACAGCAGCAGCATCGCAACATCAATGTGACTCATCGTCCGGTGAAAGTTGCGTTGCTTGTTGGGAACTTACCCCCCGAAAAGAACAGAGGAAGGAGAGGAAACAAAACAACGGACAAATTCATCAGCAGGGGCCTCGCCCCCCCACCCTACCCCCCAAAAAAGTGGCGATTAAAAAGCGCTTGACGGATGCAGCAGCGATGTTTTTTCGATCTCGAGTACAGGGACGACGAGATGGACCGTGGACATCGCGAGAGCGCGAGAGATGGGGAGACATTCATCCAGTCGGGGGGGTGGGGGCGGGAGTGCGATCGAGCCTAGCTCCTGTTGTTGCCCATGATGATGACCTGGCCACGGTGGATTGAGGGGTGCGAAAAATCACCGAACGCTTTCAGTAAAGCTGCTTGCGATCTGGAGAGCCTCTAATGGGCGCGGACTTCTCTCTCTCCCAGCAGGCTGCCGAACGCCAATAGTTTCTGACTCTGACGCGTTGCGCGCCCATTGAATTCTCTCCCTCGACCGTAAGTCGTGACACCTGCGAGCTTGCGTCAATCGCGCGCAAAGCAGGTGCGGTGACGAAACGGCCGCTGCGAATTGGATTTCACTTACGGCTCGAAGTCTTGATAGCAGCGCCCGGGGTTATTAACGGGGCGACGTGAGCGGGTAGGGGAGGGAGGGGGTGGTGGTGGTGTCACGACGGACGGACCCATCCACCGCCGGGGAGATTGAGCGATGAAACCCGGTGGCTTGGGAGAAGGCCTTCAGTAGATTGATCTCATCAGAAGACAAGGATGATGATGATGATCATGATGAAGAGCACGCGTTGTGGATAGGGCAGCCGGTCGTGATTGGAGGAGTGGGGAGAAGGGAGATGCTGACGGCTCGCCGGAGGCTGCCCCCACCCACGCGTGGTCACCGCTGTTGTGGGGAAGACTCGGCCCACACAAGAGGAGGTTAAGGCGCAACCCTGCAATAGCCGGTCAACGCCACTGCTGCTGGATGGGCCTCCATGAGAGGACGATCGAGAGAGAGAGCCCTTCTACTGCAGGGAAACGTGGCCTACTCGTCACGGTTGTCGAGCACAGTAGGCCCAAAGGTCCAATAAAATCAAGCGGCCAGGAATAAACAGCAGCACTGTCAACTTTATAATAGACACGGAGTGAAAAGCGATGATGGGGGGAGGGACTTCCACAAAAGAACAGGGCGAGAGAAGAAGCAGAGAGAGAGAGGGGTGTTGTGATGGCGGTGTGGAGTGTGGAGGTGTGGGTGGGTGAGTTGCCTTGACCTGCAAGTGTGGTGGAACACGTCGTGGTGTGACGAGACGACAGAGCCGGCATCTGGTAGACCCCGACTGTTTCGACAGGGGTGGAGGAATTGATGAGCGAAGTTTACGGCACGAGTAAAACCGTGGTAGCGATAGGCGAGTGATAAGGAGATGACTGAGCGCTGGTGAGCATCGCTCCAGGAAGTGGCGTGGCTCGTAAAGCGCCGCGTCACTTCTCAAATCGGTCCGGCTCGGGTCCGGCACGGCTCGGGTCCGGCCCGGCTCGGGTCCGGCACGGCTCGGGTCCGGCACGGCTCGGGTCCGGCACGGCTCGGGTCCGGCACGGCTCGGGTCCGGCACGGCTCGGGTCCGGCACGGCTCGGATCCGGCACGGCACGGCTCGGGTCCGGCACGGCTCGGATCCGGCTCGGGTCCAACTTGTCGCGCACGTGGGAACGCGACACGCGGCGCGCGCGTGTCGCTGAGCGAGCTGCGCTACGAATCCCGACGGCTCCAGTTCGATTCCTGCTCACGACCACCGCTGGTGCCAATGATGTGAATCGGTCCTGGGCCTCCCCTAGGTCGACTCAGACTCAAATGAGCACCTGGTTCGATGCGGGAGACGAAGGCGGCCGGGCGTGGTGCTGTCCATTCACTCGCTCTCGTGCCGTTGACGACCTTCAAAGGTGTTACTCGCTAACAGCGCTTGCCCCAAAAGTCTTTCAAGGTGACACGGTGGTTCTTTTGTCTTTGTGTTACAGCCCAGCGTGCGTCCCTCTGGGCAACATTCCCGACACGGAGATCTACAAACGCGTCGGTGTCTTCAAGCAGGTGACGTCACCGCCTCCCTCCCGTTTCCCTCCCAGGCAATTCCCGATAAGTGTTGTTCCCCCTTAACATTCAATGAGGGGATAGTGGGGAGGGGGATTGTTTCCGGTTCACTTCGTGATTGGAGCAAGGGCCGTTCCAATTCAATACGTCGTTTGGAAAGTTGATGGGTACGGTTACAAATGTCCACACACGTCTTTGTTGTTGTTTTTGTTACGTGTTAAAAGAGCATATTTTACCCGTGTAGCGCAAGACACGGCATGGGGATTTCAATCTATGGGAGAAGATAAAGGAATGGGGGAAAGGGAAGCGATGCCGGGAAGGAAGCCCCCGAGACGGACAAAAAGGAGGAAGGCACGGCTTGAGATGAGCGGCGGGAAGAGGGAAGGAGGAGGAGGGGGAGGGGGATAAGGAATTATGGGGCCAAGATGTCGAGCGATGATGGGAGGGGAGAAGAGAGAGCGAATGAAGGCGCGAGCAGAAGTGAGCTGCACGGAGCAGCAGCGGCGTCTGTTTTCACAGGGGGCGGGGAGGAATTCAGAGTGGGAGTGGCCACACGTCGACCGCACGGAGCTGCTGATGGACACCAGATGGGTGCACCGATGAATGACGCGCGGGCCGTGCTGGATAGACAGTGATGATAATACCAGAAGAGTCAAACTGTAATCAAAGACCCAAAGAATATGTAATCATTTATCCTGCCTGAAAATGGACCCCCCCCCCCACACACACACACAAGTGATGCCGTTGTTTGTGTTTTGTGATCGCAGGCGGCGGAAACCCCCGGGGTGAAAGTTGTCCGCTGCCCAGCGCCGCTCTACTTCGGGAACATCGAATACTTCAGAGAGAAGCTCATGGCGATCGTGAGTAACCCCCCGACCCCCCCTCCCACGATCCCTGTGACTCCGTGTCCCCGTGTCCCCGTGTCCCCGTGTCCCCGTGTCCCCGTGTTTCTGTGTCCCCGTGTCTCCGTGTCTCCGTGTCTCGTGTCTCTGTGACCCCGTGTCTCCATGGCCCCGTGTCTCCGTGTCTCCGTGTCTCCGTGTCCCCGTGTCTCCGTGTCCCCGTGTCTCCGTGTCCCCGTGGCTCTGTGTCACCGTGTCTCCGTGTCCCCGTGGCTCTGTGTCACCGTGTCTCCGTGTCTCCGTGTCTCTGTGGCTCTGTGACCCCGTGTCTCCATGGCCCCGTGTCTCCGTGTCCCCGTATCTCCGTGTCTCCGTGTCCCCGTGTCTCCGTGTCTCCGTGTCTCTGTGTCCCCGTGTCCCCGTGGCTCTGTGTCCCCGTGTCTCCGTGTCTCCGTGTCCCCGTGTCTCCGTGTCCCCGTATCTCCATGTCCCCATGTCCCCATGTCCCCGTGTCCCCGTGTCTCCGTGTCTCCGTGTGCGTGCAGCTGCAGTTCGACCCGGCGAGGGTCGCGAGGAAGAGGGACAAGGCGCTGAAGAAGCTGAAGAAGCGGCTGAGCCGAGAGGCTGCCCTGGTGAGCGCAGCACCAGCCGCGAGAGCACCTCACACTCACCCTCACACTCACCCTCACACTCACCCTCACACTCACCCTCACACTCACCCTCACACTCACCACCGCTCACCACCGCTCACACTCACCCTCACACTCACCCTCACACTCGCCACCGCTCACCACCGCTCACACTCACCCTCACACTCACCCTCACACTCGCCACCGCTCACCACCGCTCACACTCACACTCACCACCGCTCACCACCGCTCACACTCACCCTCACACTCACCACCGCTCACACTCACACTCACCCTCACACTCACCCTAACACTCACACTCACACTCGCCACCGCTCACCACCGCTCACACTCACCCTCACACTCGCCACCGCTCACACTCCCACTCACCACCGCTCACCACCGCTCACACTCACACTCACCCTCACACTCACCCTCACACTCACCACCGCTCACCACCGCTCACACTCACCCTCACACTCACCACCGATCACCACCGCTCACACTCACCCTCACACTCGCACCTCACACTCACCACCGCTCACCACCGCTCACACTCACCCTCACACTCGCACCTCACACTCGCCACCGCTCACCACCGCTCACACTCACCCTCACACTCGCACCTCACACTCGCCACTGCTCACCACCGCTCACACTCACCCTCACACTCGCACCTCACACTCACCACCGCTCATACTCACACTCACCCTCACACTCACCACCGCTCACCACCGCTCACACTCACCCTCACACTCGCACCTCACACTCGCCACCGCTCACCACCGCTCACACTCACCCTCACACTCGCACCTCACACTCACCACCGCTCACACTCACACTCACCCTCACACTCACCACCACTCACCACCGCTCACACTCACCCTCACACTCACCACCGCTCACACTCACCCTCACACTCACCAGCGCTCACCACCGCTCACACTCACCCTCGCACCTCACTCACCGCTCACACTCACCACCGCCCAAACTCACACTCACCACCGCTCACCCACACACTCACCACCGCTCACACTCACCCACACACTCACCACCGCTCACCCACACACTCACCACCGCTCACCCTCACACTCACCACCGCTCACACTCACCACCGCTCACCCTCACACTCACCACCGCTCACACTCACACTCACCCACACACTCACCACCGCTCACCCACACACTCACCACCGCTCACCCACACACTCACCACCGCTCACCCTCACACTCACCACCGCTCACACTCACACTCACCCACACACTCACCACCGCTCACCCACACACTCACCACCGCTCACCCTCACACTCATCACCGCTCACCCTCACACTCACCACCGCTCACCCTCACACTCACCACCGCTCACCCTCACACTCACCACCGCTCACCCTCACACTCACCAGTGCTCACCCATACACTCACTACCGTTCACACTCACACTCACCACCGCTCACCCACACACTCACCCTCACATTCACCACCACTCACCACCGCTCAGCACCGCTTACCCTCACACTCACCCTCACACTCACCACCGCTCACCCACACACTCCCCACCGCTCACCCACACACTCACCATCGCTTATCCACACACTCACCACCGCTCACCCTCACACTCACCACCGCTCACACTCACACTCACCCACACACTCACCACCGCTCACCCACACACTCACCACCGCTCACCCACACACTCACCACCGCTCACCCTCACACTCACCACCGCTCACACTCACACTCACCCACACACTCACCACCGCTCACCCACACACTCACCACCGCTCACCCTCACACTCATCACCGCTCACCCTCACACTCACCACCGCTGACCCTCACACTCACCACCGCTCACCCTCACACTCACCACCGCTCACCCTCACACTCACCAGTGCTCACCCATACACTCACTACCGTTCACACTCACACTCACCACCGCTCACCCACACACTCACCCTCACATTCACCACCACTCACCACCGCTCAGCACCGCTCACCCTCACACTCACCCTCACACTCACCACCGCTCACCCACACACTCCCCACCGCTCACCCACACACTCACCATCGCTTATCCACACACTCACCACCGCTCACCCTCACACTCACCACCGCTCACACTCACACTCACCACCGCTCACACTCACACTCACCACCGCTCACCTACACCCTCACCACCGCTCACCTTCACACTCCCCACCGCTCACACTCACCACCGCTCACACTCACACTCACCACCGCTCACCACCGCTCACACTCACCCTCACACTCACCCTCACACTCGCCACCGCTCACCACCGCTCACACTCACCCTCACACTCACCCTCACACTCGCCACCGCTCACCACCGCTCACACTCACACTCACCACCGCTCACCACCGCTCACACTCACCCTCACACTCACCACCGCTCACACTCACACTCACCCTCACACTCACCCTAACACTCACACTCACACTCGCCACCGCTCACCACCGCTCACACTCACCCTCACACTCGCCACCGCTCACACTCACACTCACCACCGCTCACCACCGCTCACACTCACACTCACCCTCACACTCACCCTCACACTCACCACCGCTCACCACCGCTCACACTCACCCTCACACTCACCACCGATCACCACCGCTCACACTCACCCTCACACTCGCACCTCACACTCACCACCGCTCACCACCGCTCACACTCACCCTCACACTCGCACCTCACACTCGCCACCGCTCACCACCGCTCACACTCACCCTCACACTCGCACCTCACACTCGCCACTGCTCACCACCGCTCACACTCACCCTCACACTCGCACCTCACACTCGCCACTGCTCACCACCGCTCACACTCACCCTCACACTCGCACCTCACACTCGCCACTGCTCACCACCGCTCACACTCACCCTCACACTCGCACCTCACACTCACCACCGCTCATACTCACACTCACCCTCACACTCACCACCGCTCACCACCACTCACACTCACCCTCACACTCGCACCTCACACTCGCCACCGCTCACCACCGCTCACACTCACCCTCACACTCGCACCTCACACTCACCACCGCTCACACTCACACTCACCCTCACACTCACCACCACTCACCACCGCTCACACTCACCCTCACACTCACCACCGATCACACTCACCCTCACACTCACCAGCACTCACCACCGCTCACACTCACCCTCGCACCTCACTCACCGCTCACACTCACCACCGCCCAAACTCACACTCACCACCGCTCACCCACACACTCACCACCGCTCACACTCACCCACACACTCACCACCGCTCACCCACACACTCACCACCGCTCACCCACACACTCACCACCGCTAACCCACACACTCACCCTAACCACCGCTAACCCACACACTGACCCTCTCCACCGCTAACCCACACAATCACCACCTCTCACACTCACACTCACCACCACGCACTCACACACTCACCCTCACACTCACCACCGCTCACACTCACAACCGCTCACTCACACACTCACCACCGCTCACACTCGCACTCACCATCGCTCACCCACACACTCACCACCGCTCACACTCACACTCACCACCGCTCACTCACCACCGCTCACACTCACACTCACCACCGCTCACCCACACCCTCACCACCGCTCACCTTCACACTCACCACCGCTCACACTCACACTCACCACCGCTCACACTCACAACCGCTCACTCACACACCCACCACCGCTCACACTCGCACTCACCATCGCTCACCCACACACTCACCACCGCTCACACTCACACTCACCACCGCTCACACTCACACTCACCACCGCTCACCCACACCCTCACCACCGCTCACCCACACACTCACCACCGCTCACTCACACACTCACCACTGCTCACACTCGCACTCACCATCGCTCACCCACACACTCACCACCGCTCACACTCACACTCACCACCGCTCACCCACACCCTCACCACCGCTCACCTTCACACTCACCACCGCTCACACTCACCACCGCTCACACTCACACTCACCACCGCTCACCCACACACTCACCACCGCTCACCCACACACTCACCACCGCTCACCCACACCCTCACCACCGCTCACCTTCACACTCACCACCACTCACACTCACCACCGCTCACACTCACACTCACCACCGCTCACCCACACACTCACCACCGCTCACTCACACACTCACCACCGCTCACACTCGCACTCACCATCGCTCACCCACACACTCACCACCGCTCACACTCACACTCACCACCGCTCACCCGCACACTCACCACCACTCACACTCACCACCGCTCACCCACACACTCACCACCGCTTACACTCACTCACCACCGCTCACCCACACCCTTACCACGGCTCACCCTCACCACCGCTCATCACACTCACCACCGCTCACACTCACCACCGCTAACCCACACACTCACCCTTACCACCGCGAACCCACACACTCACCCTAACCACCGCTCACCCACACACTCACCACCTCTCACACTCACACTCACCACCGCTCACACTCACACTCATCACCGCTCACTCACACACTCACCACCGCTCACAGTCACCCACACTCACCACCACTCACACTCACACTCACTACCTCTCACACTCACACTCACCACCGCTCACACTCACACTCATCACCGCTCACTCACACACTCACCACCGCTCACGCTCACCCACACTCACCACCACTCACACTCACCACCGCTCACACCACCGCTCACCCACACACTCACCCTCACACTCACCAACGCTAACCCACACACTCACCCTCACCACCGCTAACCCACACACTCACCCTCACCACCGATAACCCACACACTCACCCTCACCACCGCTAACCCACACACTCACCCTAACCAGCGCTCACCCACACACTCACCACCTCTCACACTCACACACAGACTCACCACCGCTCACACTCACACTCACCACCGCTCACCCACACACTCACCACCGCTCACACTCACCACCGCTCACCTGCACACTCACCACCGCTCACCCACAC